CTAACTGTGAAGGATGATAGTGAGATACACCGTTTAAATATCGGTTTGTATGGGTCTTTTTTCTATACACAGTGTGACCTATGGTGTTATTAGGAACCCGAATGACTAACACATCTAAGAAAGCTCAAGAATTATTTGCCTCTAACTCCATAGTAAATTGAATTTTAGAGTTTATGGAACTAAGATGTTCTAAAAATGCAGTTACTTTGTCTGATGGTAAAATTGTGAAAGTATCGTCTACGTACCGTTTGTAGAACCTTGGAGTTACTAGTGCAGTAAGCAGGGCTTTCTCCTCAAAGTCCTCCATGAAAATATCGGCGACAATGGGAGATACTGGTGAGCCCATCGCAACACCATCTACTTGCTTGTAAAACTCTTCTTTCCACAATAGATAGCCAGATGTAAGGCAATGCCTGAGTATTACTGCATATTCTGCTGGCATGTTGTTTTCTTCTAGTTTCCTAGTTACAATTCAGATGCAGTCTTCAACAGGTAGGCATGTAAATAAAGACTGAACATCAAAACTGACCATAGTTTCATTGTCAGTAAGACATAGGTCTTTTATCTCACTGACAAAATGGTATGAATCCTTAGTGTGTGCTCTTGTGTGTCCTCTGAGTGGTGATAGTACTTTTGCTAGGTGTTGAGCCAATCTGTAAGTTGGCGAATCGATCTGACTCACTATTGGGCGTAATGGAGTGTTTGGTTTGTGCTCAGTTAGCGATCGCTGTAAGTTACACAGTACGCGAGAAACTCGGGTTCAATCCCCGCCAGCACCAATGAAATTGTTAATTGCAATTATAAGTGCTGATTTACCACGTGCTCGGCCGTGAAGGGAAACATCGTAAGGAAATCTGCATGTCTGATAAATAAGAAAATAAATACGGACGGACATTTCCTTGTCCTAAAACCCTTTCAGAAATGAGAGGGGGCACAGGCCCAGCAGTGGGAGGTATATAGACTGACTAACTAAACTAACTTTGCAAGATGCATTTATTGCTCCATATGTTTAACTTTCAGCATTGCTCTTATATGGCCGGAAAAAGACTTTGGACCCGGACTCTAAGTGATGACCAAGGTATCTAAGTGAGGGTCACCTCCTGCTCTTTAACATTTTGACTATGTATCTTTTTTAATTTAATGCGTTGTCAAATTGTATAAGCTTTAGAGAGTTAATACAAACTATTCTCCACATTTTTTTTTCACAATGTTTGTAATTATATAAGCTCAGAATAGCATTAAATAATAAATAGAAAGTTTAAAAAATTACTTAAAGCGTTGTTATCTCTTACGATTATCTCATAAACCTTTTTAATGAGTCGTCGTTTTATTAAAAAATGGCACGAAATTGCTGTGATATATTGTTCATCATAAAATTACATAATATCACGTTTAAAGTGGAAAGTAGCGTTTGAGGTCAACGCTTGTTTTAAAGCTTTTTTTTAACACAATATGGTTTTTGCATTATCAGAAATGGTATTTTTTATAGAATAAGGGTAACAAACCAGTACACAGACCATCTGATGATAAATGGATGCTGCAGCTCATGGACATCTACATCTATCCTCGCTCAAGAATCAAAAATACAGATGCGTTGTCATGTTGTCGTCCCCGAGCGCTAAGATGGAATGTCACGTTACTAGTTAAAAGGGCCTCCGGTTCTCTGCACTCACCATACGGAACACGGCAACATTTAGCTGCTATTTTACGGTCGTATTCTCTGAGAGTGTGGATCATACCCGGTAGCACTACAACCATAAAATTGCTGCAGCTATCGACCACGTAAAAAAAACATTTATGGATTCATGTTACAATCCTCTATTTAACTTCACATGCATGTATGTCAAGTTTAAATCTTAGAAGCCAAATTTCAAATAATTCCATTAAGCTTACGACTTTGTAATTTTTTTTATATATTATGACCATCGCGAACATACTGGCATTGCATTCTGATTTAACTATTATGCAAATAAGCCCGTATAGCCTCGACTTTGTCTAATGATGCAGTAATCGGACGAACAGTTTTATTTATCCAGCTATTAGCACAGATTACTCGTAAATAATAGTATTAGGTTTTAGTCAGCTCCAATAATCTGTAGCCGAAAGTGATTGGTTAAATTAAGATGTATTTTATTAATTCAAGGCTAAACTTAAATGTAGGTGCTTTCTAAGTAAACCAAGGTCTAGTAATGTCCAAATAACTATGAGTAAACTTTACCAACGTACGAAAGCACCTTTCAAAACTATTAGCGACAGTAGGTTAAGATATGGTTAGGGCACTAGCCTCCGCTACTTGGGCTTCGTTAGTAACCGTTTAACAGTACATGAAGTGCATAAACCACACCCCACAAAAATTGGGTTCGTAAGTCCTTAAAAAACCCTTCTTTAAAGACTTACGTACATAATTTTTTTTCTAAACTCTAGTCTGTTCTAAATAATTGTTTTACTATTTCATTGTACAGTAAAATAAGAATAAAGAAATTAAGACGTAGATATTGTTTAAAATAACATACGCTTATATAAGATGCATTTTTTTATAGGATAGGGTGACAAATGAGCACACAGTCCACCTGATGGTAAGTGGTTGCTGTGGCCCATAGACAATCTACATTTATCCTCGTTTGCGAATCAAAATGCAGATGCGTTGTCACCCGTGAGGACTAAGATAGAATGACTCGTTTCCAGTAAAAAGGGTCTGCGGTTCTCTATACTCACCATACGAAACACAGCAGTGTTAAGCTGCAATTTGACGCTGGTATTCTGTGAGAGCGTGATCCTTCCCCGGTCGAGCCGACCCATTCGTGCTACAACTATACTACTAATATAGCTGCAACATGGCTCTACCACGTAACGCATGTTTCGTAATTATCATTATTATCACCGTACCTTATTATTTCCAAGAGCCGTGGTGACAATGACACAGGGGTTAAATCAAAATACTGATTCAACAGTTTAGAAATCGCTTAAAATTGTTTCATTTTAAGTTATCTTTTGTTGCCGATTTAATAGTTTGTAATATAAGCTGCTTTTTACATGTACCTAGTACGTAAGAAAACGAAACGTTATTCGTTACGAAGTAAGATCTTTCTTGCGTATAAGAATTAGGCATAAATTGTGAACTATTTTTTTTACAAAGATTGAAATTATAGCATATAATATAAATTCATAGTATGTAAATTTTACCATGTGGTGGCGGTGTAAAAGAACAATTTCGTCCCATGGGTGTCGTTAGAGAAGACTATGGGAAATCCAGAAAGTTCCTTATATTTCCTATAGATGGTAGATGATAACATTGTATGCACCAAATTTTATATTGTTTGCACCAAATGTAAAAGAACAATTTCGTCCAATGGGTGTCGTTAGAGAAGACTATGGGAAATCCAGAAAGATCTTTATACTTCCTATAGATGTTGGTGTAAACATTATTTGCACCAAATATAAATTTAAAATTGTTTGCACCAAATTCAAAATTATTTGCACCAAATGTAAAAGAACAATTTCGTCCAATGGGTGTCGTTAGAGAAGACTATGGGAAATCCAGAAAGATTCTTATATTTCCTATAGATGGTAGATGATAACATTGTTTGCACCAAATTTTATATTGTTTGCACCAAATGTAAAAGAACAATTTCGTCCAATGGGTGTCATTAGAGAAGACTATGGGAAATCCAGAAAGATCTTTATACTTCCTATAGATGTTGGTGTAAACATTATTTGCACCAAATATAAATTTAAAATTGTTTGCACCAAATTCAAAATTATTTGCACCAAATGTAAAAGAACAATTTCGTCCAATGGGTGTCGTTAGAGAAGACTATGGGAAATCTAGTAAGATCTTTATACTTCCTATAGATGTTGGTATCAACATTGTTTGCACCAAATATAAAATTAAAATTGTTTGCACCAAATTTAAAATTATTTGCACCAAATGTAAAAGAACAATTTCGTTCAATGGGTGTCGTTAGAGAAGATTACGGGAAAACCGGAAAGATCCTTATATTTCCTATAGATGGTGGTATAAACATTGTTTGCACCAAATATAAAATTAAAATTATTTGCACCAAATTTAAAATTGTTTGCACCAAATGTAAAAGAACAATTTCTTCCAATGGGTGTCGTTAGAAAAGACTATGGAAAAACCGGAAAGATCCTTATATTTCCTATATATGGTAGATGATAACATTGTTTGCACCAAATATAAAATACCCATACCAGAAACTGACAGCACCGTCAAAGGTGCTAGACACGTGCAATTATCAAGCTGCTTGTGACGATAAGAGCAAATACAATGAGAGAGTCTATGTCTTACAATAGGTTTTTATGGGCTGATGCAGAACTGATGAAGATATGATAAATTCATTGATGAAAGGGTTCGATGAAGTACTTGTAAATTAGTACAATATTCTTGGATATGTTCTCTAGCGTACTTTAAATACTAAAAATATGGAGTCCCTATTATTACAGCTCATTAAAGTCTATACTGATCTGCATAGGCCTCCCACATAGATTGCCTTATAGAGGGTATATTTACCATAGTTGCAACGCTTACCAAGCTGGTTAGCAACTTCAGTTTTATATATATTTTTAGTCGTTATTAGGAAGACGCTGCCCTGATTTGTTTCGACGCCCACAGGATGATACGGGGTAATGGATAGAGTTAATCTAATTAAAAGTAATTAGATCAACAGATTGCTGCTAAAATAAATTAACCAATTCTTTTAACTATACATTAACCATAAATTGAGCAAAGTTGTGAAGTATATGCCCCAAAAGAAAACTTAACAAAAATATCCAAACTTGGGCTTAGTTTTTATCGTCGTTGACTATGAAATAGTATCGGACAAAAAACTAATTGGTTCATAGAGTTACAATCATTCCGTAACATTAAATATTTGCTAACAATGCCAAAAAGTGTATAGTATTGCCGAAATCATCTCAACGAGGCGCAACATTTTCAACCACTCTCACTTTCACTAAGTCACTGTTTTTTTTCCTTACAGATTGGAGAGGCAAAGGAAGTGAGGCTTTTGGCGCATTCAAACGAGAGGCAGTGTAGTGAAAATAAATTTATGTGAATGATCGTTTGTATGTGTTCATGAAAAAGTGAATTATTGTGTGGTGTTAACGTATTACGTGAATTAAAGCTCGAATTATAATAATCTACCTGGTTTCAAAAATGGTAAGCGATTTTTTTGTAAAGAACATTGAAATGTTTTAAATATTTAATTTAAAATAATAATAAAATGCATTTGATATAAAACAATTTACGACGTAGCTCTGCCGCTAACACTACTCTGTTAATTTTTTGCTTCAGTAATTCAGTTGAAAATTGTGAAAATTACAACATTCGCGTGTCAACTCCAATATTGTTAATTTTGAGGTAATAAAAAATTACCTTTAAAATCTAAACTGCAGTCTCAGTTTTAAGTGCGGATAAATTTGCGCATTTAAATTGGCAAATGCAAATGAATATTAGTTCAAATAGATAAGAACACGAGTAAAGTAGGAACGTACATTTACACTTTTTCATTTTCTCATTTGCTTATTATTAAATACACAAATATTTGCTCATTTCTTGTTGATAATTCTTTTAATTTTAATCAATGTGTTTATGATAATTCATTCGTCAAGTTGTTCAAACGGATTAATCAATCCAATTATTTTTCATGTTAAATAAAGAAGTAATTTTGATTATCTTTTTAGACAGTCAATAGAATAATTAGAAAGTCATATGATCATATCCTACAACAGAGAAGGCTGCTTGCTATTTCTTTGCATTAATTCTTCTACACCGAGCAATAAATGTAATTTATTTTATTTAAAAAGTATAACTACCCATTTTCGCTGCAAATAATTATATGACCTCTAAATTATGCGGCTGTTTGTCCTTGTTTTTAAAATCACACATCATATTCATACTACCTATAAACGCTGTTATTGCTCATTAACTAATACTGACGATTGTTTTTATCACAATGGATACTTAATTTCACGTTTAGAATCTGGATGATCACCTACACAATGAGCTTGGAAATAAGGAAGATAAATACTTTCAATGTCATGATTAAAATCGACTTAATGTTTTTGTTTTTTGTTAATGTTTATTTATCTTACTGTAGGCTTACATCCCCACTAATTGATACATTTCTTGGACTATAATGTATGTACATAATTCTATAATGAATATATCCTATCTCCGTGTACAGGAAACACTAGAACCTTCACTTGCAACATCGCTGTTAAATTGTAAGTTACCGTCAAAGCCTATCAAAAGTTCATTGCAGAACATAGACCTCTCCCAGAGATTGCCACAAAAGAGAGATATTTCCCATAGTATTTTTTAATGGAATAAGGGTGACAAACGAGTACACAAACCACCTGATGATAAGTGGATGCTGTAGCTAATGGACATCTACATCTATCCTCGCTCAAGATCCAAAAATACAGATGCGTTGTCAGTTGTAATCCCCGAGTACTAAGATATTATGTCACGTTACTAGTTAAAAGGGCCTCTGGTTCTCTACTCTCACCATACGAAACACAGCAGCATTAAGTTGCTATTTTACGCTGGTATTCTGTGAGAGCGTGGTCCTTCCCCAGTCGAGCCGACCCATTTGTGCTACTACTATACTATTAATATAGCTGCAGCATGGCTCTACCACGTAAAAACTTGTTTCTGTTTCTGTTTCTTATCTCCTGGTTTGTTTTCTTCTGTCGACGACATCCACGGCACGATAAGGGGTATTGGATATTATTACACGGCCACAAAACGGTTAAATTGGAACTGTAATAGTTGAATCCAGTTATAGTTCAAGAGTGCTATAATCGAAATTAATGATCTTAGCGATAACATCATGTATTAAAGTTGCAATTGCAAGATTCGAGTTATACATAATTACCACTAAGAAGGCTTTTAGTAGTTTTCACCTACTCTGTTTTAACGCACAAACTATGTAATTTAATGTGTACAACTTTTCAAATGTTCCATTACAGTGTTAAAAGTAATCACCACTGTTGCGGTCTCGAACCGGAACTTTAATTGCATCTTGAGTTACGAGTGAACGCACGCGCGCGGAAATGAAAATGAGATAAATTTGCGTCCTTGACATTTAGGGTCTAGTTCAAGGTTTGCCGCCTTTTTTGTATATTTTTACTTATATAAGTACTTTTCTTCTTTTGCTGTAAACTTGCATGATTTATATATTTGCCAGTCTTCAGTAATATAGACTTTTTGAATCTATTTATTGTCTTGTTGTAAGGAAGGAAATTTTTACGAGTAAAGAAGTACAGGAGACAAATGAGCATACATTACAGCTGTGGCCCGTCGACACCTACTAGTATCTACTCCACTTCTATCCATTCTCGACCAAATTAAAATGCAGATGCGTGACCTCTGTAATTTATCGTCAGTTATCGTCATTCAGCATACGAAACAGCAGTACTTTGCTGGTATTTAAAGCTGGAATTCTGTGCGGTCGTGATCCTTCCTCGGGTGTGCCCTATGCGTGCTGGAGCTACATTATACAGCTGCAGTGTGACTCTACCACGTCATTTTACTACTTAAATTTTAAGCCGATTATCTAGAGACCATTAAAAACTATGTTTCACATGTTTTACTTTTCGTTTGAATTCTTTTATTTCGTGTATGTACTTTTATTAAAAAAGAATAGTGGATATAACTTCTCATTTTCTTAATACAACTTAAGAATGCGAATGTTTAGACAAATGGCAATAAAAGCACTGCCTACTTGCAACATTACATTCACCGCTAAAAAGTCTGACACATTACGCGTTCAATAATTTTATCATTTTCGTTATACATTGTTCATTTTTTTGATTATAATTCATTATTCATTGTTTTTTAAATAAAATGCATGTTTTCACATTCTTGTTACCAGTAGGTAAGTTTACCTAAGCCAGTAATTATATATTTATCTTTTATCGTAGGATCGACGTAGTAACGTGGGTATTTTCATTGAATTTTACATAGGTTTTTTTTCACGATATAATAATAGTAACGACCTGTTAATGATAAACAAAGATTACAAATTTTCCTTTGTTTGAAATTTATCATAGGAGGAATAATTAATTAAGCAATTCCATTCAAGATAGTTAAAAATGCACTTGTTTCCAAATGCTGCTAATTTTGACATATATATATATATATATATATATATATATATATATATATATATATATATATATAAGAACGTAATGTTAATAAAAAGTTAAAGTTACAGCCAATATACGTCCCATAGCTAGGCACAGGCCTCCCCTCATTTCTGAAAGGGTTTTAGGGCAAGGAAGTGTTCGCCGCGTTGCCTCGATGCATGTTCACGAACTTCACATGTCTTATATATTATTATATTTTTTTCTTATTTCTCAGACATGCAGGTTTCCTCACGATGTTTTCCTTCATCGCCGAGTACGGCGGCACCAATGAAATTGTTAATTGCAATTTTAAGCGCCAATTTACCAAATAGGAACGTAGAGTCGTAGAATATAAGGAGTATGTTGTTATGTCAATTATTACATGCAAACCAACCACTTTGTGATTTGTGATTGGTCTGAGGAAAAGGAAATCTTTTTAAACGTGGTAGAGCCATGCTGCAGCTATATTAATGGTGTAGGTGTAGCACTCTCACAGAATACCAGCGTAAAATAGCAGCTTAATGCTGCTGTGTTTCGTATGGTGAGTGCAGAGAACCGGAGACCCTTTTTATTGCAAAAAAGGCATTCCATCTTAGACCTAACGTCTGACAACGTATCTGCATTTTGATTCGCAAACGGGGATAGATGTAGATGCCTATGGTCCAAAGCAACCACTTACCATCAGGTGGACTGTGTGCTCGTTTGTCACTCTACCCTATAAAAACATCTACAGTACATATTTATCGATGTCGATAGATGATTACTTTAACCAATGGTTGTAGGTTTATATATTCCATAGACATACTTTGTCGATAAATGCCACTTTTCTAATACTCTTCACAATCTTGATACTTAGAGAAAAAGGTAAGTTTTTAAAGAGCATGCAAACTGCAAAAAAATATTTAAAAAAATGAGTAAATAAACCAGTCACAAATTTATGCGTTTCGTATGTTTGTGTTGGGGTTTTTGGTCCCCGCGTTTTTGTCTTTATTCATAAGTTGTTTGCCATGATCGAAAGTTTGTTAGGCCGGCATCATCGATACCATTCAAATTGTTTTTATTAATTTTCCTTCCAATTACTTCCAATTCAGTCTTATTACTCACAAGCTGTAGCTTTAGACAGATTTTCTACTTTTATGACCCTTCAAGGCTTTTAACAAAAGAGAAGTTATGTAATCAATACGTTTTACTTTTAACTGTATTCAGCACATAGAGCGACACAGGCCACCGGCGGACATAGCGTTTTTTCCCGATACAGAACTGTCGGTCATTTTTTGCGACGGTAAATCTGCGCAAACAAAAACAATCGTTTATCACTACGAAAATCACACATATCAATTAATAATAACTTAAACTAAAATATAAAACTAAACATATAACACTAACACACATCATAATATAATATACATAAATAAAAAAAAAATTACTAATTTACTAATTTTCATTTAATACTAACCATATTTTGCTTTGGTACACACCTAGATAAAAAAAAACAAATCTTGCTATTTTGTCACACCATTTATATACGTCATTAAATAAGTTGTCGCAACGTGAACCGATTGAACATGATCGAAGTTACGAATTGGTGGTACATGGAAAAACTTTTGTAAGTTTATTTGTACTGTCGGATGTTATTAAATAACTATACTTTGTAATAAATAAATAAAAAAAATTAAAACAATAAAGTAACAATTTTACACACTCGTAGATACATTATAACAGTATCGCTCGGTGGCAGCGACAACTCGAATACAGATTCGGATCTGCCGATCTGCATATTGTGAATAACATGACAAGGTTGCAACTTTTATATTTATTTTGTATGTTTAATATTGTATATTTTTTAGGTTTAAAATGAAACAAATACCAATAATGTGATTAAAAAGTATTTATATATGAAAGGTAACGCTATCTTTTGTAAATTTGATGTGAAATTTGTTGCCATTTTTTTGGAAAAAAAAAAACAAAAAAACTGTACAATTCGGCATTTTTGTAGGGCGTCGTCGCATGAATTTAGTATAGTAAGCA